CAGTGGCCAGCTCAGTCCCCGTTCTCCCCAGCACCCCCTATTCGATCCCACTCACCCCACTTTCTCTATGGCCCCTCCATCTGCCCCCCTTGGCTGGGCAGCTGCCCCAGTCATTCCCTGGCTGATGCTGTAGCCTGCATGATTTGCTTTCCCCCTATCCTGTGCAGGCCGGGGGCTGTGCTCCTGGGAGGGCTCCCTCCCCCCGCCCCGGTCCTGCGTGAGCAGGAGGCATCAGTGCTGTGCCCCAGGGAGTAAATGGGTCTCGCTCCATGGGAGCTGCTGGGGCAGGTCCCCAGCTGTGGCCAGCCCCAGCCGGCTGCTGTGTCCGGATGGGGATCCACTGGCAGAGGGATTCCCCCTTAGTGCCAATCAGCCTGGTGCACTGAGCAGCGCGGTCAGACCTCCCCTTGAAGGGCGTTGGCTGCAGGGCTGGCGGGCAGCAATGTGTCTACATTAGCCTCTGGCACCTGCAGGCTTAGGTGGCTCTGCCGAGGCTGCTCTCAGTTTGCCCTGAGCGGGATGGGACAGGGCAGGAGGCAGGGTTCCCTTCTGCAAAAAGCCTGTGATCAGGCCTCCAAAGAACCGACTGGTGGTGGCCACGTGGCCTTGCAGAAGGTCTTGCCCCTCCCCTGCCTCAGTGTCCCAGTCTGTGCACTGGGAAGGACGTGACCCTAGCCTGGGGCGGTAGGGGGAATGTTTATGGCGTGAATGGGTTAACGTCTGCATTGGGTGCAGGTGGGCTGTGGGGCAGTGGGTGGCTGTGGGTCAGTGGGTGCCTCCCTCCCCAGGGAGTTGGACAGAGACCTGCCAAACTCCCTGCGGCCGGGGGGTGCTGGGCCACAAGCGTGTTGCACGGAGAACAGGGGCGTTAATGTCCAGTTTGCTGGCCCAGCTGAGGATCAGGCCTGAAATTCACCCTGTTTGGTCACGTCCAGGGGCGTTCGGCCAGCGCGTCCCTTTCCTACCCGGCGGCTTCAGCATCCCAGCCCACCCTGACCTTTGCCCCCAGGCAGGTGTGGCTCC